TCTACTAAAACTACAAAATTAGCCGGGCGTGGTGGTGCGTGCCTGTAATCCCAGCTACTCAGGAGGCTGAGGCAGGAGAATTGCTTGACCCCGGGGGGTGGAGGTTGTGGTGAGCAGAGATCACACCATTGCACTCCAGCCTGGGCAACAAGAGTGAAATTCTGTCTAAAAAAAAAAAAAAAAAGAAAGGAAAAGAAAGCCTGGGATGATGTCCCAGAAGCAAAAAAACTGCATTAACACAACTTAACAAACACTTCATATTATTCATAACCCAAAGCTTAAGCAGGAAAAGCCCACCTGAGTCAAAGAACACAATCTCTGATGAGTGGCAGGAACTTGGGTTGCTTGCCACAGACAGAGCTGCATAAATTAAGATTAAACTCATCACAATTTTCACTCAGCCCCAGAAACTTCCAGAGGACCAGAGCTAAAAGGGCCATCGAGAATATTTAGCCTCAACTCCTCTTTCTCTGAGAAAATAGGATTACTGGCTGCAAATTAGCCTAAGTAGAGACGGGCATATTGTTTCAGGGCAACTGACTCAGAAGTCAAGCAAAGCCAGACCTAATGTCAACTAAACATGAGAAGTCACCCAGCACTGGCCCGGCACAGTGGCTCACACCTGTAATCCCAGCACTCTGAGACGCCGAGGCGGGTGGATCACCTAAGGTCAGGAGTTTGAGACCAGCCTGGCCAACATGGTGAAACCCAGTCTCTACTAAAATTACAAAAATTAGTCAGGTGTAGTGGCAGGCACCTGTAATTCCAGCTACTTGGGAGGCTGAGGCAGGAGAATCGCTTGAACCCAGGAGGCAGAAGTTGCAGTGAGCCGAGATTGCGTCACTGCACTCCAGCCTGGGCAACAAGGAAACTCCATCTCAAAAAAAATAAAGTGAAATAAGAAGTCATCCAGCACTAAGGCTTCCACCCCGGAGATGTGTCCTGCTGAGCAGCAGTCCTACAGAATGGTTGGGAAACAGGGTCTGGAGCCAGGCGGTCGGGGTCTCAGATCCCAGCTCCACCACCGCCACCCCATAGCTATATAACCCTGGCGCCTTACTCACCTCTATGTGCCTCAGTTTCTTCATCTATGATACAGAAACAATACTTACCTTACAGGGTACTGAGAGACATAAATGTAACAAACATAATGCACTTAAAACCATGACTGGTACTCAAGAAGTACTAGGTATTCTTATTTAATTATCCTCTCCCATAAACTGGCAATGTCTGCTTGCTCATGGCCCATAACAGCCAGCCTGGATAGTTACCTTATAGGTCAGGTCTAGGAATCACCTCTGATTCTATGATTCTTGAGAGGAAAAAAGCTATCTGGTCAAGTATCCAACCCTGGTGGGTAAGTGTTATCAACGGAGTACAAGCATAGCCCCCTGGACCGGCCCTCAAACTATGGAAGGTCTAGGGCTTTACCCTACTTGCAAGCTAACAAGCTAGCATGCTAGAGTCTTACAGACACTGGCAGAAGACACAAACTCTTGAGTCTGAGACTAAGAACTTGTTACAGCAACAGCCATAGCCAGAGCAGCAGCATTTATGCCAGTTTAAGATCCAGTTCCACAAGGCCACACACATGCTGTGTGGCTGTGTCACAGGAGAGGAACCCCAAGCTCTGGCTGAACTTTGCCCTAGAGGGAAACATTATCTTTACTAGATAGATATAAACAAACGTACCCTTTTTGCTCTGGAAGGAAACTGCATCTCTGTCCTCTAAGGATGTCTGCTATACACACATCCTTGAAAAGCTAGCCAGAAACAAAGGTCAGTTCCTCTGCTCTTAACACATGAAGAAACAGGACAGACCCTTGTGTCTCGACAATATCTAAATAAATGAAGATATATACTTGTGTTCATGGATTGTAAGTCTCAATATTGCTAAAGTGTCCATTCTCCCTCAAAATGAACTGTTGACTCAACACAATCCCAATAAAAATTTCAACAGGATTCTTTTCGGTAGCCAGTGACGAGCTGATTTTTAAATTCATATGGAAAGGCCAAAGGTTTAAAAATAGCCAAAACAACCTTGAAAAAGAAGAACAAAGTTGGAGGATTTATACTACCTGACTTTAAGATTTATTATAAAGCTATCAAGATTTATTATAAAGCATGGTATTGGCATAATGATCCAAAAATAGATGACTGGAACAGAACAGAATCCAAAATGACCTTCACATGTATTGTCAACTGACTGTCGACAAGGTGCAAAGGCAATTCCCTGGAGAATAAAGTCTTCAAAACAAATGGTACTGGATCAACTAGATAGAAAACTTTATGCAAAAAACAAACCAAAAAATAAAAATAAAAACAACAACAAAAAAACTCTCACACAAACAGATACCAATTAAAAACGAATCATATAACTAAACGTGAAATGCAAAACTATAAAACTACCAGGAGAAAACACATTAGAAAATCTTTGTGACACTGATCTAGGAAAAAATTTCTACAACAAAAGCATGATTCTTTGAAGAAAAAGAATTATAAACTTTATTACAATTAAGATAGGTCTTCTGCTCTTCAGAAGATGCTCTTAAGAGAATGAAAGACAAGCCACAAGCTGGGAAAAATTATTTTTCCAACACATTTGTCAAAGGACACAAACCGAAAACACAAAGAACTCTCAATATTCAGTAAGAATCTATGCAATTTTTTAAAAACAAGTAAAATATATGAACAGCTATCATCAAAGAAGTTACGTGAATGGCAAAACATGAAAAGGTACTCAACATCATTAGTTATAACAAAAATACAAATTAAAACCAGAGTGAAGTACCACAGTATCCCTACTGGAATGTCTAAAATTTAAGAGAATGACCATACACTAACACACTGCTGCTGGGAATGTAAGATGGTACAAGCACTTTGGAAAAAAGGGTGGCAGTTTCATAAAAACTAACATGCACCTACCACATGTCCCAGAGATCCCACTTCTAGGAATTTACCCAAGAGAAACAAAAGCATATGCCCATGCAAAGACGTGTACAAGAATGCTCCCAGCAGCTTTATGAACAGTAGTCAAAAGCTGGAGACAACCCAAATGTCCATCACTAGCTGAATGAATACACCAATTGTGGTATATCCATAACATGGAATATTATTTAGCAATAAAAAGTAATGAACTATTAATAGACACATGGATGGATCTCAAAATCAACATGGATGGATCTCAAAATAATTATGCTAAGTGAAAGAAGCTCGGCAAAAAAGAATACAAACTATGATTCCACTTATATAAAATCAAAGAAAATGAAAACTAACTACAGCGCAGAAAGAAGGCAAGTCTCTCTCCGGAAGGCAGGGAGAGGAGCAGGGAGGAGGGACCACGAAGGGGCACAAAGTGCCTTTGGAGGTCATGGGTTTGTGTATTACCTTGATTGTGATAATAATTTTACAGGTGGACATTTATATCAACACTTATCAATTGTTCACTTTAAATATATGCAACTTATTACATGTTGATTATATATCAATAAAGCTATTATTTTAAAAAAGCAATCACCACCAAATGGAACTGACACTAAAAATTAGAGGTTAATCTGAATTATGAAAAAATAAGGAAAATTAATTTATTTTTATACATGGGTCAAATATATACTCATTAAACAACATACAGTGTTAAAAATTATGATGAAATTGGGACAGAACTTTAGGTTAGATTGGTAGTTAAGGGTGAAGAGGAAAGGTTGCAGTAAAGATAGCTTTTTAAAGAAATTTTAAAACACATACACGCTCTACATGTGTACTTCCCTTCAGAGCTGCGGTGTCTTTCCAATTTCTTTTTACCCAAATTATTTAACAATGGGTCTTCTATTTTATCTGATAGAGCCACATATCCACATATAGTACTGTGCTGTTAATAGAGAATGGGATAGGCTAATGCTGTTTATCAGCTGTTTTATAAGACAATTTTTCTTTGTGTTGTAGGGACACCAGTAAATCATATCCAAATTGAAAGCAATACTTCAGAAACAGAACTAAAGTAAACCTAACATACCAAGGAATTTTCTAAAATTTGACTTCTTTAAAAAGAAATAACATCTTATAATCAATCCTACTTTCTAATACTTTAAAATTTCCTTCAGCAGGCCGGGCGCGGTGGCTCAAGCCTGTAATCCCAGCACTTTGGGAGGCCGAGACGGGTGGATCACGAGGTCAGGAGATCGAGACCATCCTGGCTAACATGGTGAAACCCCGTCTCTACTAAGAAATACAAAAAACTAGCCAGGCGAGGTGGTGGGCGCCTGTAGTCCCAGCTACTCGGGAGGCTGAGGCCAGAGAATGGCGTGAACCCGGGAGGCGGAGCTTGCAGTGAGCTGAGATCCGGCCACTGCACTCCAGCCTGGGAGACAGAGCGAGACTCCGTCTCAAAAAAAAAAAAAAAAATTTCCTTCAGCTACAGAAGAACAGGTATACAGTAGGCCCCTCTTATCTGTAGTTTCACTTTCCACAGTTTCAGTTAGCCACAGATACCAAATGGAAAAATCCAGAAATAAACAATTCTTAAGTTTTAAATTGCAAACCATTCTGCATAGCATGATGAAATCTCATGCTGCCATCCCACTCCATCCCATCAGGGACATGAATCATCCCTTTGTCCAGCATATGCTATGCGCCCTTTAGGTCACTCAGTAGCTATCTAGGTTATCAGGTCAACTGCTGTAGTACCACAGCAACGGTGTTCAAGTAACCCTCATTTTACTTAATAATGGCCCTAAAACACAGGAGTAGCGGTGCTGGCTTATTATTATAATTGTTCTATTTTATTGTTGTTGATAATCTCTATGCCTAATTATAAATTAAACTTTATCATACAGATGTATGAATGTTTAAAAATACAGTGTATATAGAGGGTTTGGTGCTATCTCTGGTTGCAGGCATCTGCTAGGAAGCTTGCTAGGAAGCTTGGAACGTATCCCCCGTGGATAAGGGAAGACTACTGCATAAACCATACAAGCAGCTGTAGAGATAACCACCCTGCTTACCACTCAAAAGCCACCACAGCAACGGGATGAATCCTGGACTCTCGCTGATGTATTTCAGGCCTTTCAAATTGATGCTTACATTGTACAGGGACATCAGCATCAGCCTGAAATGTAAAAGAAAAAGGTGTTGAAATGCTCCATCCACACTACATTTCACCCTAAACATATCTCCTAGTTAAGAGGAACTTAACATATTTAGTTATTCCCTCACATTTTAGATGTCCAATTCTACAATCTGGATAATGAGCATTGTAATATAACGTATGTGAAGTAGTATCTGTCTATGTGAGGCTACAGGAAAATAGGAAACTTCAGCAATGATATCACATAATACCGCCTTTCATACGCTCACATAATCAAGAGTCTCGAACGCAGAGAGGGTCCCACGGGAAACCTCACAAACCATATTTATTGATTCATCTCTTTTATGACCAATCCTGCATTAATATACAGGTTACTCTCAATTTGTAAGAGTACTGTACTCTCAAAGTTCAATTCAGCCATCTAAAACCTAATGACATATTTTCATTCAACGAACATCACACATGACATCCAGGTAGCCAGGTCAGGCCACAGGACTGCATAATCACAGTACAAGGAACGAAGAGTACTACAACCCAACCATCCCTCACAACCAACAGAGCAGTTTACTGAATAGGACAGGACTTTACAAGCTGTTTCAGGACTGAACCATGGCTGGCAATGCAGAGTCTAGTGAAAGCCAGAAACTACAGGACTTCGGTTTCTGCAAATACTGCAAAATACAGAGAACCCAAACACTTTACACTGCACAGCAATAAAAAGGCTAGACAAATATTTTTGTAAAGCCTTTGAAATAAAGAATGAGTTTGCAAGAAATGAAAGGAAAACATCTCTGATCAGGAACAAAGTAAGAGCACAAAATCTCAGAGGAAAGTGCAAAAGATGCTACGATTCCAAAAGACTAGAGCTTCAGTTACAGTGGCTTCCCGCAGAGGGACAGAGGGAAAAGCCTCAGAGAGACATGGGCATTCAGTGCACAGGCCCTGCAGACACCAGAAGAGACAAAACTTTCAAGCTTAGCAGGAATTCACTTTTTGGCAGGCCTCAAAATCCCCAGGCCAGTAATTTTAACATAAAACAGAGTGGGAAAGAAGCTCCCCCAGCTTCCTGGACATTAAAGGAAAGGATCCTCAACCTGGTCTTCAAATAATTCCCCCAAATACATACTAGCAAATGAGAGTTCATAACAAAAATCATAATCTGACTCATGAGAAAAAGAAGACCAGGTGAGTAACAGCCAGCGCAAAGAACCAATAACAGGGCTAGAACCAAAAATTTTTCAGATACTAGAAGTATCAACTGCAGAATAGAAAACTGATACGTTTAATGGGTGAAGATAATTTTTAAAGAAAGTAAAAATATAATCAAGAAGCTAGGATTACTATTATGAATGACCAGCCAATTCAAAAATAACAACAGAATTTACAAAAAAGGAAAACAATAATTAAAATGTAAAACTCAAGGATAATTAGACACATGGAAAAGCAGAAATACTAAACAGAAAAATAGACCTTAAGAAACTACAGCAAGAAAGAAAAACAGATGAAAGAGAGGTTAAAGTACCAGGAGAGGAAGATGAAAAGTTCAATATTCTTCCAAATACGGTCCACAAAGAAAGAACAGAAAGAATGAAGGAAAAAAATATTTCAAAAATATTTTCCAGAAATGAGTAAATATAAACCCTCAGATTCAGGAGGCACAAATAAATCTCAAGAAAGATACAAAATAAATACAAATCTACACACATCACAATCAAACTTTAGAAAATTAAAGATGAATTTTGTAAAACAGCCAGAGAGAAAGGATATATTACCTATAAAAGAGTAATTACACCAAAAGCTAGGCTCTCTATATCTACCAAGTATAAAGAGAAAATAATACACAGAGTTGTAAACCCAGCAAAAAGACTTTCAACAAAAGAGGTAAAGTAAAAATACTGTCAAAGAAAATCTCAGACATTTTTAAACAAACAGATCTGAACTGAAAGAATTTGAAGGACAGACTTCGGAAAAAGGAAAACGACGTCAGAAGAATGTTCTGAGATACCAGGAGGGAGTAAGTAAAGGGATGTGAGTGTACAGAAGTAAACACTGGGGGGTAAAAGCAGTCATTAAAATGTCTACTCTATGGGATTTTTGAAACTTTTCAACAGAGCTAAGATACAGTCCATGAATCCATGTAATCCAGGATGTAAATATTAGAGCATTCTAAGATCTTTCAACTGTTTAGGTGAGAAAGACGTTAATTACTTTCACGTATACCAAATGCATCAAATCATGCTGTAAAACAGGGGCTATCACTGAAAGAAACAAGGGTAAACTTTCGAGACACTAGAAGAATAAAATGAACTCAGAACTTAGTGACTTTGAAAGAAAGATAACAGAGTAAGACCCTGTTGAAAGAAAGAATAAAAAAGGAACAAAAAGAGTAAGAAGAAGGGAGAGACAGAAGGAAGAAAGAGGGTGGGAGGAAGAGAAGAAGGGAGGAAGCGAGGGAGAAGGGAAGTAGGGAGGGAAAGATAACAGAAAAAACATAATAAAAAGAAAAACAAAATATGACAGAATAAATAAATCCAATTACTTCATTAATCACAAATGTTAATGAACAGGATATTCCTATTAAAAGGAATAGATTATAGATTGTTAAAGGAAAAACAAAATGCAACCATGGACTGTTTCAAAGAAACACACCCGAAACAAAAGTCTCCAGAAAGGAGCCAGGAGTGGTGGCTCACACCTGTAATTCTAGCACTTTGGGAGGCCAGGGCGGGCAGATTACTTGAGGCCAAGAGTTCAAGACCACCCTGGCCAACGTGGCAAAACCCTGTCTCTACTAAAAATATGAAAAAAATAGCCAGATGTGGTGATGTGCACCTGTAGTCCCAACTACTAGGGAGGCTGAGGCAGGAGAA